AACTGAAGTTGCATTCCCAGGGGTTAAGGGGGGTTTTATGATTTGGCATACCTATGTAGCTCTTATCGTGGCATACAGACATTTAAATATTTCGTTCTGAGTATATCCTTCTGTCATCCACATGTCTTTGTCATGTGTAGCTTTGGAGAGCAAGCAGATTTGGCAATGACACATTGGCATTGGTAAGCTTTGATGGGGGAAGGTTAGTCTTTGATACTGAAAATTCTGGCACAGGAGAGATAAGCATGCAAAGAAGGGGTTAAAGCTGGACTCCAGGAATATACTCTTGATTCTTGGTGTGCTTTGTGTATTTCTTCCAGATCTGTGGAGGAATACAGTGTGAAACAACTCCTGCACGTTGCCTTTGCGCAGTTGTAAAGAATGTAAACTTAGACACCCCCCAAAATAATATTCTAATAACATGTTAAGGTTCTCTTAGTGAGGACACATTGACACTCTAAGCTAAACTCCTGTTTTTTACAGAGAGGACACAGTAACACTCCAAGCTAAAATCCTGTTAGTAGAGAGAGGACACATTTACCAGAGCACCTGCTGCACTGTAAGTGGAAAGGGAAACTTAGTTACTTGTTTCTGAGGGAACTTCCTGTCAGTTACACACTTGTTCCCTCAGTGATGAGTGTCCTCCATTCTATTGCAGGTAAGGGAGATGATTCTTATAAGCATAACTGGGAATATAATAGATTAAACTGGTCTAGCTAATGTTCCAGTGACAAGTGAAAGTAAATGCAGTGTGATTATAGGACATGTGGCATCTTCCTTAGTGCAGCTTTGGGGGAGAATGTTCCCAGCAGACAGAGCACATGTTGATTCTGCATTTGGATGTTAATCACAATAATTCTGTACTGTACCTGCACAGTTGTTATGCTTTATATACTGTATTATACTGTATTATTGTTTTGTCAGTTACACACTTGTTCCCTCAGTGATGAGTGTCCTCCATTCTATTGCAGTTCATATTAAAGCACCCTAATTTCACCCAACCCCGATCGCACTGTGGAGTTTATTCGTCAGAAGTGCAACACAGTAACTTCCTGTATAAAGACTGATCACTGCTGCTCTTTCTCCTTGTGCAGGGTGACTGGTCTTGTATCCATAGTTTTCTGCAGGCAACCTGTAGTGAGGGGGCCTGCAGGGTCCCTCCCACAGCTCTGCTCTCTGCACAGGCTATGTACAGCAGTGATGATGTCACCGGTATTTATACAAGGTGATAACTGGGTTTGCAAGGGCATTTGGTGTACATAAAGTGGATTTATATTCCTTGTGGCTTCTGAGGAATATGAATATAAATGAAAGTGTTTGAGCCCAGAGTTCAGCTTTAACTCAAACCTGCAGTTTGCCAGGGCCAAAGTAAAGAACATACCAAATACTTTGGGTTATGAAGGGAACATGTGACTCTCTGCCCTTCTTTCAAATGGAGCAGCAAGAGAACAAAAGGTGCCCATACACTGCACGATTATCGTACAAGAATCACGGGAAATCCCGCGATCGTACGATAATCGTGCAGTGTATGGAAGGCCTGTGACCATTTCTACTGTACGATCGTACGACTTTTGTATTTCGAGCATGTTGGAAAACCAGCCGAGAATCGTACGATTTTCGGCTGGTTTTTAGCATGATTGAGAGATAACTGCCTAACGGGCCGGTGTGCGCACACGCACACTGCCCGTTCAGCATTGCAGTCATTGGAAGCCCGCCCCTCGGGGGCAGGCTTGCGATGATCGCAAGTACGATCTGCCTGTCCAAGATGGGCAGATTGTACTTTTTTAAATTACTTTACAACCCTCGCAAGACAAAAGTCTTGCGAGGGTTGTAAAGTGTATGGCCACCTAAAGAAAGATGAAAGTAAGCACCTGGTGGGGCCTTGTATGGACGAGCTACAGGTCTGATTTAACCACCTGTTTGCATGCTTAACCTTCATGTATGGGGATCTTCTGCACCAAAAAGTTACCTCTCTGGACCCTTGCACTGTACCCTTATCACCTTCTTGCCTGCCCCTTACTGAGCTAAAACCTCATATAAGCTTTAACAGGTCATTTTCAATATTTTAAAATCTGCAGCTTTCATTAAATGATACCTGGTGATCATGCAATGAAGGTCCTTGTTTAGGCACGCAGGAGCACAATTAGGTGATGGGGACAGCATTGTCACCCTATAACAGGAAGCTATGCTTCCCCATCACCTAATTGTGCTCCTGTGTTGTCACCCTGTCACACAGGTTTCCAATAAAGAGTACATGTGGCTGTTTCAACACACATTATGTAGCCATGGTTCACCTTTTTCACCATCAGCTAACCCACCTTGAGAAATGCTATGCAGCCATCACTGTCACATTTATAGGCACCCAATATCATATCTGCCTTAGGCCCCCTGATATTATTTAGACATTCCTGGTATCAAAACAAAGACAAATTTAATCAGTGAAAAAACTGCATAGATATATCTTGTTTGTGGCTTCTATAAAGAAAAACAAACTCCATGATCAGCAGGCTTTCAGGAGCAACTACTTCCTTTTTCAATCAATTTCCAGCAGCAGCATATGCCTATATCACATCCATATCATTTCACACTGTTTCTTTGTTTGGCAATGGCTTCACGCAGTAATATTGCAGCAGTGGGGCTTGTTTTGAGGTTTGTGCAGCGGTTCCTACATGGTCTTTTTGTTGTCGGCAGAATTTCTGAATAATTTTCGCACGGCTCAGACATTTCTGCATATTTAATGGGAGATGCACTGTGGTATTCCTTGCTACAGTCTTTTCTTCCACCGAGACTTTATGCAAACTTTAACTTGTATTGCATATTGTTTGACATTGCTTACCGCTAATTACTGCAGTTGCCTACTTAGCCTACAGTATTGTATGTGTTTGCAGATGATCTTATTTTTTTTCTTTTGATACATAATTGCTCATTTAATGTTTTAGTTCTTTTTTCAGGACCTTGAACTTTAAAGCGGAACTCCAATTTGAACCATGTTGTTTAAAAAATATATATATTTTAAAGGGGAAAGTTTCCTTACTCTTTTGCCTCCATCCACCCAAGTAAGTATAACCCACCCTCATCCCCCAAATTACTATATTTACCAGGATCTCACTTCAAGCCCTGCGGCATTGCTTTTATTCCTCTACCAGCTTCTTGACCCGGTAGCACGCCTGAACAGTTTGCCTCCATGGACCTCTGTTGGGTTAGTAAATAGATCTGCTCCCATATGTCTACCACAGAAGCCTTTGAGGCTGATCTGCACAGGCTAGGATGTCAAGCCAGTGGAGGGATGTAAACAATGCCATGGGCCTCGGACTGAGATCATGAAGTATAGCAATACCTTGGCTTCCTCAGGAGTGCCTTGAAATTTTCACACGGCATCATGCCTTTCCATTGTGCAGGCTCCTACTATGAAGGGAAGGCTTCAGATGTGAATGGGGGCTTGAATGAGAAAGATGGGGGCTTTGATGAGAATGTGTCTCTGATGTGAAGGGGGGCTCCTAGTGTGAGAGGGGAGACTCTGATGTGAAAGGAGAGGGCTCCTAATGTAAAGGGGGATTCTAATATGAAAGGGGGGCTTTGATGTGAAGGGGGCTACTAATATGAAGTGGGGACCCACTTTTTTGGATTTCTTGTTGCATGGTGTCCCCCTTAAAATTCTTACCAGACCCCTATCTCACATAAGGGTCTGCTATGGATTTTGGAGGGGCCACATGTCACTTTTTACACTTACGTTTTTTAGATTGTAGACTGGGATGTCTCAAGCTTTGCATACTTCAGAGGGCGCCAGGACTGAGAAAAGAATTGAGCAATGCTGACTAAGAGAGTCGGGGGCAAAAGGGTAAGGAGACTTTGTGGGAAACCTGGTTGTTTCAAACCTTTAAGAGTACTTCCCACCCAACATATTTATGTATTCCTGCTCTGTAACAGGTCACAATAAAAAAAGCAGTAAGATTACATGCGGTCAAGAAAGACGGTTTTCTTCGTTTTGAATAGAGTTTTGGTGGGTTAGAACCGTTGTCATGTTATTATTGGTCTGTGTCCCTACTGTGAAGATTAGCCTTTTGTACATTTGGTCGCTAGGACAGAAAGTGATGGGAAATTATGAGAACAAAAGTTGAGAGGAATTTTCTTATGTGGACACATGTGGAGGGGAAATCTTCCAATTGGGACACATGTGGATGTGCCAACTGCCTAAGTGGGGATACACGCTTACTTTGGTAAGGTTTCCACTCACTTCCTGTTGAGTCTCAAGGACAGGATGTGAAGGGAAATTTTCAAACAGTGCAAAGAAAAAAATAACGGTGGGCTTTAACAATGCCCCACTCTATCTTAGAATACAATAAAAAAAGACACTTTGGGCTATAGATATACTTCAACAAAACTCCTGCATGGTCGAGTCTACCGATGTGTAAGCCACTGTCACTGGCAGGATTTATTTACATGCACAAGATAGAGACCCCCACCTCAAATGCTGTTGTGAGGAAGAGTAGCTGGGCTGGGAGCATAGCTCTCCCAGTGTAACCTGTCGTGCTGCACTATTAGTTTGATAGCCAGCCCAGCTCTGTGTATTAGGCGTCTCAGCACTGTCTAGGAGCAATGTGTATGTCAACTTTTGTTTGTTGTTTTAAAAAGCCATTATTTCTGATATTTTCTGTAACAGAAAGTGTGGGAACATTTCCCCAGCGGGAATTGTTTTGGTTGGAGATGCACTTTAAATGACCATGTTTGACTACGTTTGACTGGAGATACACTGATATTACCCTGTAAATGGCCAAGTCATAAATAGCCTTGTATGCAGCCTAAGGGATGCACATTTCTGAGTCTGGGATATTCACTTAGAGGTACTTTCATACAGATCTAACATTGACCTTGCAATCTCATTCCATAACTCCTACTGTAATTGTTACCTTTATAAAACATGGCTACTGTAATGTATAAATGATACCTATCAGACACCAAACATGCCTATTTTACAAGGTCCAGAAGGCTAATAAAACAGATCAGACCTTAGGTTTCCTTGCTATGTGAAAATACAGATGTATCCAGGATAGATAACATTAAGGGTTTTCCCGCTGCATACTCCAGCACATCTACAACAAGCCTCTCAGACCAGACTCCACTTAAAGTCCATTTTCACCTTTGTACGTGATTAGTAGACATGTGCACTGCCAAAAAATTTGTTTCGTTTCGTTTTAAATTCGGATTTGTGTTATTTTGTTTTTCGGGATTCGGGTGTGAAAGTCAATTCGGATTCGGAATTCGAATTCGGACGAAATTCGGTAGCGTTCGCACGAACGTTCGGTTCGTTTTCTGTTCTTATTCGTTTCTTATTCGTTTCTTATTCGTTTGCAGCAAAAGTGACATTTGAGGGGGAAAAAATATTTTTCTCCTTCTCTAATGTCACTTTGCTCCAACGAACAAAACGAATAAGAAACGAATACGAACAGAAAACGAAACGAACGTTCGTGCGAACGCTACCGAATTTCGGAAATGGAAATTCGGATTCGTTTGCATTCGTTATGTCTGTAATTCGGAATTCGGATACATCCGAATGTCCGAATTTACGAAAATTCGTCCGAATTTCGATTCGGAACGAAACGAATCGCACATGTCTAGTGATTAGTATTTATTGTGGTGATGTAGGGGTGCAGTAGTGATGTATATGTGTGCACTCACATTGCAGGCTTTCTTAATTTTTTAAATAAACTTTTTATTAGGCTTATTTAGTCTGACCCCGGGATGGAATGTAAAGCAGGCTGTAAACAGCTACCCTCCTCCCTGTGATTCTGTGTAACATGATCACTAAATACCAGCTCTCCCTTTATGCATAATACAATGTCCAGTGGGTTGCCATTATGAATACCAATGAATGGGGGGTAGAGAACTCAGTTGTAAGATATACACATTGCTTGCAGAGCACATAGGCAGTAATTTCCATGAGGATATAAGGAGGAAAGCTAACAGAAAATGTAAGTTTCTGTGTTCATATACAGCAGCTGCATGTGCCTGCCTCATGTAAATTCTGTGTACATTGCTAGCATATGTTTTTTTAAATACCTCCGCAAAGGTGGAAATGGGTTTTGAGTATTTTTTTATTTTTAAAGCCCCTTTTATTTTCCTCTTGCTAATGTCTGTTTTGTAATATGTTTTCTGAGAACATTTCATACACTGTTTTTGTTTGTTTTTTCATTGAAGCAATACTTAATCATTGTTAAGCTGCAACTCTAAAAGGTTTAACTAAAAATTAGGAAATTGCCTCTTTGAATAAGCTACCATGGTGTGAACTCATTACATTCCTTTCTGGGTGCGTGACAGTAAGTGACAAAGATTTTTTTAAAAGGTCACAATTGCAATAGTGAATTATGTGATTGGTGTGTGTTTCTATTAAAACGTGTGGTGGCTGGCCCCATGTGTGTGTATCAGGAGCTAACAGCTTAGTTAACCTGCCCCAGTGACAAACACTCGCAGTCTGCTGATGTTTAGATTGTTGCCCTACGAGTTTTAAAATGTGTGCGCAGGGTTACAGGCTGATAGTGAAATGGTCACAGTGGCCTTTTATGTTCCACAATTAATAGTTCCCTATAGGTAAGAAAGAACAACAAAACATACTTTTTAGGCACCACCATGACCATTTCGATTTATATATAAAAATTATATTTTATTGTGTACATTGTTTGTTAAAATTGTATAATAAAACTAAAATCATCAACGTATATAGTTTTATTTACAAAACTATGAGCCTGTATGCCCATCATGAACCTGCACCTCCTCAATTGATGTACAATAGATAGCTATCCTAGTAGTTTCTATGCAATAGCATTAGTATATAACAGTGGTAATTATACATATTTCCATGGGGAGGCGCACAACTCTTTCTCTACGCATTTCGCAGTACCACCACTTCTTCAGGAGCTTATGGGCATACACTGTAATATAAAGACAAGTGTTGTAAGTAACTCTTAACAAGTAGATATTGATAACATCAGTGATTATAAGTTTGAGCAAATCAAGATACAGTATATACGTTGTAGGTCACAGATTTCTCTTACATCATGACTCCCTATAAATTGATGGTCAGTGTAGTTTATAATCTTTATAAAAAGCCCCCTTTTCATTGTTGGGAAGAGATGCCTCATGCCCCTCAGGAAGCCCTTCTAATTGCATTGATGGCAGCAGATTTCCTCCATAATAAATCTTCCTGTGTACATGTCCCATGAAAACATCATCATTTTATAGATTTTCAGAGAATAGTCTAATGGACAAGATTTTAGAAACTTCAAACAATGACAAGAGTGCATCTGAGGTTCTCTGTAAAGATGATATCAATGTGGGAGATATAGTTTGTACTTTCCTTTCTGATGATGAATTGTTTTACAGTGGAGTTGTAAAATAGAAAAGCACTCTTGGTTTAAATATTGATTATGGAAATCTCCAGTTGCAAAAGCTATACCCTTCCCCAGAAGTTGTGTTCCATTCCTATCACTATTCTTGTCTTCTTTATTCATATCTAATAGTATAGCTCTTACCTCCACGTGAATTAATTTTTGGATGCATTTATATAATGTTCAAGTTAGAGTGTGAGTTTGTAAAGCAAATAGTAAATCAGACCTACTTTGTGTTGAGCAGGCGGCACAAGTGACCAACTTAAAGAAGCATGCCGTAAATTTAATACATTTACCCTTCCACTGAGTAAGTTTTTTCCATTTGACAGAGTTCTTCTTTAAGGATGTCACAGAAGTCACAGAAAAAATATCCACTAAGTTAGCTGTTCCACTTACAAGCTCAACAAGTGTTGTGCTCTTAAAAAGAGCATGGCATGTGGTACTTTTTTTTTAAGCACACCAGAGTGAGATTCCCCTATAGACCTTGTGACATTTCAATAATGTTTGACCCAAGAAACAATGCAATGCGGGTCAACAGAGCGCATGGGCACTCACTCTCCAGGCACCAGCGGCTGCAGGTGTGAACAAGCCCTTAGACCTTGGAGAGAGTCTTCCAGTTGGGGTTGAGACACTGGAACCAGTCTGATGTAATAAACTCCATTCACAAAGCTTTAAAACAAGTATGTCTCTCTATAATTTAGCCTTGTGACTGTAATTTTCAAATCCTATTGGCCGAAAATAACTGTCACTTTTTAAAAATAAGTATACTTATCCTGTCAGTTTAGGTTTGCGAATTGCACCCTTATTTTTATATGTAAGTTTCAGCTTGAGCTACTGAACTCTGTAAAGCCCATGCTTTTTTGCAACATGGGTAAACAGAGGGTAAGATGGAAAAAGTAACCTATGGCCCTGTTTTAAAAGAAGAACACCCAAAATTATTGTGAACTATTTCATATGGTTCTTAACAAGGCACAAGTAGCATGACCTTGTGCCATACCACCTATGTATAGGAGGATATTCTCATATGACCATTGTTTTACAGAACAAAAAATGGGAAGTGTAGTATGGATATTCCAAAATGCTATCTTAAAAGGGGAGTTTTTATTTTCAACTGCAAGTAAGTTCTATCCCACTCATAATATCCATATTGATCTAATAGTTTGTAAACTGGATTGAAGATACCCATAGGATGTATTGCCTCAATGCACTGGCACAATTTCACTCAGTCCTGTGAATATGCACTTCTCTGTCTCACAACTCATAGGCCCCATTCACACTGAGCAACATGAAAATCGTGAGATTTTGTGCACGATTTTATATGAGCGATATTGATCGATATTGAGCGACTTGTCGCGCAACTTTTTCCTATTGGGCTGTATGCAATCAGGAGCACAATCGCTCGAAAAAAGGGTCATGTAGGAGCGACAAGCTACAACCGATATTGAGCGACGAGATGTGAACAGCTCCATTGAAATGGATTGGAGAAGCTACATAGAGCGATATCGCGTGGAAATATGAGCGATATCGCTGCAAAAATCGCTCGATAAATCGCTCAGAGTGAATGGGGCCATAGAGCCTGCCTTCTGAACTATAACTCCGTGTCAGAGCAATGTAGCATGACCATTGCATTGCAATGCAATGCAATACATGTGCATAATGAACCTCTGTATTTAGAGATATAAAGGAAGTCGGAATAGAAAAGAAGATACAGACTCTCCCTTTTTCTATTGTGAGTGCTATGGTACAGGGGATTACGAAAGGTTCATATGAAGGCAGAATAGGGTACTTACAATAATTGCATTTAACAATAGTGTTAATGCTTGTAAAGTGTATGTACACCCAAAATCTATATTTTATTATGTCTGGCACCAAGCCTCTCTCTGCAAGAGATGCACAAGAAAACTGTATAAATTTTTTTTTTAATCTTGAGATCATGTTAGTATTGGCACTACCAGCTTTAATGCATGCAGGTGAATGGGGTCCATACATGTAAAATTCAGGCGTATTTCCGCTCCTGGGAAGCCAATATACATCAATGTCTGGCCAGTGGGTATTTGCCGGGACTCTTCAAAACTTGCATGTGAAGAAACGTATGTTCAGAACTAGGGATGCACTGATAACGGTTTTTCGTTATCGAGTACCGATACTTTTTTTTTCGCTGATACCAAATACTGATACTGGTGCCGTGTGCACCGATTATCAGGGAGTCACGTGGCAGACCATGACCCGTCGCCTGGCTTTCTGATTGCCTGGGAAGCCAGTGTTCAGAAGAATCAAGAAGCTGGGCGGCACGTCATGACCCGCCTCCCAGCTTCCTGATTGACTAGGAAGCCGGCTTGACTTGTTGCTAGGCAGCCTGGCTTCCTGACCAATCAGGAAGCCGGAAGGCGGGTCATTACGTGCTGTGCAACTTCTGATTTGTTAGGGAGCCAGACTGCCTAGCAACAAGTGAAGCCGCCTTCCTAGCCAATCAGGGAGGCGAGTCATACCTGGCTTCCTGATTGGAAAGAAAGCCGACTCCATGCCCCCTCAGCACTGCCGGTCAGAGGGAGATCCCCTTCTGACAGGAAGTTCCGGCATCAGAGCATTTGGGCGAGTACGAGTACACACCCAAATACTCGGTATTGATAGTATTAGTATTAGTATTGGTATCGGTGCATCCATATCCAGAACTTGTACAGTCTGAGCTCAGGGCATACAATCATTCATGAGTTAATGAAAGTAACATCGTATACACGCCATACAGCCATTGATGTCTATGGGTGGCTGTATGCCTCACCTGGAGCTTCCTGGGCAGGAAAATATGCTAGACTCTGATGTCTATGACCTCCATGCTCCTGTGTACATGTGGTCTTAAGCTGCTTTAGTTCTGTAGTTCTGTCAATCTGTTTTTGTCTAGTGATCACACTGATCAAAAATGGACTGCAATACATCCCTTGTGGACAGCCAGATGTAAGTGGACATGCATTCACCTATATCTGCCCACTTGCTGGTCTATTTAAACTTTTTGGAGCAAACGTAATGTACAAAATTAACCCCTGCAGTAGGGCTACCCCTACACTCACGGCGGAACTACCTGGGTCGCAGCGGTCACAATTGCGACCGGGCCCTGGCGTTCCGCCACTTGGTGGGGGGCCCAGTGAGGAATGCACAGCCACCCGCAGAATGTACGGGCGGCTGTGCAGCAGGGCAGGAGAAGCTGTCACTCCCGCAGAATGTGCTGCAGGCAGCCCCGGGCAGCACATTCTGCTGTGTAAGGATCCTCTTCTCTTAGCTCCGCCCCTGGACACCGAGACGAGGAAGAGGGCCCTGCATGAGAGGAAAGGTAAGTATGTAGTGGGAAGGGGGTGGTGGGGGAGGGGTTTGCTGGTAATATACTGCTGACTTTTATTATAATGCATTGCTGGGACTTGTAGTCCCACATAGCTGGTGGTATTCTGCATTGCTGTATGATGATTATACAGCAATGCAGAATAGCACCAACTATGTAGGACTACAAGTCCCATCAATGCATTATAGTGGGGGGGGGTGCTTGTGAAATACTGCATAGCTGACTTTTATTATAATTTACTGCTGGGACTTGTAGTCCCGCATGGCTGGTGGAATTCTGCATTGCTTTATGATGATTATACAGCAATGAAGAATAGCTCCAACTATGTAGGATTACAAGTCCCAGCAATGCATTATATTTTTAAGTAGGGATACACCACTGCCAATACTGGGCATTTTCACGAGTAATTATACTCGTGAAAATGCCTCGATATTAAACGCAGATACCGGTGTTCTGTCGAAAACGCCAACGTAGTCGAATTTGCCGACCTCAGCATCTGCTCTTGCGCACAGACCAATATTATCGAGGAAACCGGGATTTATTTACAAAGTATTTAGTTCATCCATCATTTACTGCCATCCATCATATACTGCCATGGATGGTATATTATTACCGGTCACAATAAACCATTACAAACGAATACTTTGTAAATAAATGGCGGTTTCCTCGTTAATCCCCTCTGTACGTAAATGCAGATACTGGGGCAGCGTTCTTGACAGAACACCGGCACTAAACTTTTAAACAAGCGGCTGCCTGCGCATGCTTGGGACCCCGGAACCTTCCTGTTAACCATGCAGTGCCATGACCTTTGCGGGGGGGGGGGGGGGGGGCCTTCGTGGTTTTGCC